TGCACTTCCTCCCGGGCACCCTGCTCGCGCCAGCACCCCGGGCCTCGGCCCCTGGAACCTACCTGGCGCCTTACAACCCAGCCTATCTTACCGAAAACTGGCAACAAACCCCAAACCTACACGCAGAGCCCTGTCAGAGGCCACCACCGCGAACCCGGCCGTCCTGAAGATCTCGCGAGAGAAGGACTCGAAATCGCGAGAGGCAAGCGACGCGAGCTGAAGGAGCGGGTGGGGCAGAGAAGGGGCGGGCACAGGTGAGAAGAGCAGGGGCGGGGCGGAAATGCGGAAGCCGGCGACGTCCTGTGGGCCCTTTAGCCGGGGCTACCTGCCCTCCTACCTGCGAGGTGTCTTCCTTCGGTTGTTTCCCTGGCCAGAGTCCGCAAGCCAGCCTCATTTCATACGTGTCTTTTCGGCTATCTCGATTGGACGCTTGCTTCTTGGTTAAATGATTCTTTTATATAACGTTATTTGTAAACAGTGTAACATTCCACAAAGAAATTAGAACACCACTGAGGGCAGTGCCCTTGTCTATTTTATTTACTATCGTGTGCCCCGTGCTTGCCATATCCTAAGTGCGCAAATGATTGATTACTTGTTGAGTAGATGAACGAATGAAATGTAAGGCATAATTTTCTGGCTTACGTTATTTTAGACTAATTACTAGAATGGTGTACTTAATATTTTTTTAATAACCTTATCCTTTCATCTTGGAGCAGCACAGACTATGTCTAGTTGCTTTCTCTTGACAGAATTTCAAACATAGGAAGATGTAACTTTTTTTCCAGGTCTCCCTCCCCCTCAAACAATTTTAAGGAATAAGCAAAGGCAGCTTGCCCACCACAACTTCTCCTCTGACCCTCTTGCCTCCCAACTAGAGAATCCAGAATAGTCTCCCTGTCTCAAGATACTTCATCACATCTGCTAAGTCCCTACGTGTAGTTCTATTATATATACTTTTTACAGGCACTGTATGCCCCAATACATACCAGTACTTTGATTTGGATCATAAATTTTCTACTGCAGATGTCCTTCAGTCTCAAATCCCTGAAGTGTGATTTGGGTCTTGTTCTTCTGAGTATGTCCTGAAGCTAGCATGTTGTCTGGCGCAAAACAAATCCTCAGTATATGTTGACTAATTATCCATTCAAAATCCACACAAACTCTGAAGAGACTGGGGCTTTTTCCCCATTTTTTCTATTCACACAGTCTTTGGCCTCAGAGAAATATCATGAGAAATATAGCTGCAGTTCAGTAGGCTGTGTTCACTGTGTTCACTTACCTCACTGAAGTAAGCACCTGCCAAGGAGGATCTGGAGATGTCTCCATAAAGGGTTGTTTTTTCTTCTCTAAAACTCTTAAAATTTGGAGGCCAATGTAACAGTATTGAGAGGTGGAAATGTGACAGGTGTTTTGGTCATACAAGCTCTGCCCTTATAAAGGTATTAATGCTGCTTTCAGAGAACTGGATTCTCAAAAAATAACTTCTCATTTTCCTGTTACTGTATTAGTTACTGTAAGAGCAGACTATTTTAAAATAAGCCCATCCATTGTGTTTTGTCTCTTATGTGTGTACTTACTTGTTCTTTGCTTTTCTACGTTATGAAAAAATCACAAGGCCCTTATCAGACACAACAATTCTAGCTTTCAGAACCATAAGCCAAAACAAACCAACTTTTAAAATACCTAATCTTGGGTATTTTATTAGAGCAACAGGAAACAGAAATGGGATATTAGAACAAACCTATCGTGTTTTGGGCTTTGGTTTGTGATTTAGGGTAAGCTCCTTGGATTTGGATGCTGTCAGAAAGATCAATGATTGTATATCTCAATAAACCTTATATATAGCAAGTACAGCAGGAAGTTGGCAAAGAAGCAGTAATTATTCATTTGTAGCATAGCAAACTTGTTTTTGTCTGCGTTTATCTAAAATGTGTTGGCCTTGTTTTCTCTTCCTTTATCATGGTTTTAAAGCAATTTTGACTGAGGTTACTATCTTGTGAAATTGCTTATATGTAATAGAATAATTGAATAACATAGTTCTATTGCTTTCTTTCCTTTTTTATTTTTTATTTTTGAGACAGGGTCTTCTCATGTAGTTTAGGCTGGCCTTGAACTCACTGTGTAGTCTAGGCTGGCCTTGAACTCTCAATGACCCTCCTGCCTCAGCCTCCCATATGCTGGAATTGCAGGTGTGTGCCACCACACCCGGCGCCTGTTTTCTTTCTTAACAGATTACTGCTACAATTACTTGAAATGTCCCTGGGTGCTGCAGTGCCAGGCTTATTAAGCACTGGATACACAACAGTAAACAATACAGACATACTCCCTGTCCACATAATGCTCATATTTTATAGATGAGGCTGATAGTCCAGAAGACCAGATAATTTACTTAAAGTCTTGTAGCAAATAAGTGGCAGAATTGGGACTTGAACTCCCACTTGCCTCTGCACCCAAGCCCTTACTCTGCAGGCTGCCTGCCCTTCTGAGGCTCAGCCCATCTATTCTTATCACAGGCTTTTGGTAAATGAACTAATCCTACAGCCCAATAAATACATAACTATTACACATAACTAGAAATATATAACTTTTATATGCCCATTATTATTATTTCGGGGGGATACTGGGGTTTAAACTCAGGTCCTTGTGCTTATGAAGCAGGTGGCGGAACCACTGAGTTAAAGCCCCGGCCCTTATATGCCCATTAAAAATAAAATATGTTTAAAATATTAATGTGGCAGAAAGTACCTATATTTTCTCCATCTCACAATTCCTTAATAGAACTAAAATCTCCAGAATCAAATGCTTTTTTTCAATTATCTCTGACACAATCCTAGAATGACCATGCTACAAGACTGGAATAAGCTTAGCAAATTATAGAAGAAAAAAGTCATTTTGTACTTTTTATTTAATCCTCACATTTCATCTGAAAAAAAAAGAACTGAATGATAATTACTTCCTGTGAAACTTCAGATTTATTTTTAAGAAACTTCAATATCTAGCAAGTAAGAGGGGCCTAATTAATATCAACTAAACAATAACATTTTATACAGAAGTTTCAAATGCATGACCTGATACTCTTCAAATTATCTGTTATGGCTTGTATCTCGATGTCCCCTTGAAGCCTCCTGCACTCATAAGTGAGACTTTTTGTAAGTAGTTGGATCTAGAGCATGTGATACTGGGATTGAGGGTGTGTGATAATTAAATTGTTTTTGCATAGTTTTGAGTGTGGATAATGGAATCCCCTTCCTACATGTGTAGATGACACCAATAAATAGGTATATAGCCTGGATGGAAAATAAAGGGAAAGGGAATAGGCAGGTTTGCTGCTGCTTGCTTGCTGCTTGCTGTTTTCTGTCTTCCATGCTATGAACTGTTTCCCCTCTATGATGGCCCTCTGCACTCTGCCTTGAAACCAGAAGACTATGGATTGGAACTTCTACACACTATGAGCCAACATAAACCTTTCCCCCTTTTGCTTGTGGGTATTGAATATTCTGTCTCAGCAAGGAAGAAAGAAGCTATCAAACATAACAGTATCCTGGGGAATGTCAAGATGGCACTAGAATTAATGAGAGGAGGTGATTGGAGTATACTCTTAGAATCAAGACCTGTAGAGGGGAAGGGATAGAAGCACAACTGGACAGAAAGGAAAATTCTCCTGTCCTGCAGTCTGATGAAGTATCAGATAATTTTTTTTCCCCAAGAAGGCCAGCCTTTGTTCACTGATCGGCATTTGATATGACTGTCCCAGGAAAGGGACATGACCTTGGGTGATGGTTCTCTGTTCAGCCAAACCAGTCTCAGTAGTGGATGAAACAGTGCTTTCTGCCAGTAGTACTCCTTGCAGTGGAGGAATAAGCATTTCATTTCTACAGGTGATCTGGGCCCATTTTCCAGAATAAATATGTAGCTGACTTATTTTAGGATATTTCTTAGTTGAATTTCCAACCAAATAAAGAGTAACCCATCATCAGTGAATCCACTCTGGTGTGTGCCTGTAATCTCAGCATTCTGAGAGGTTGAGGCAGGAGGGCTGTAAGTTTGTGCCCAGGTCAGGCAACTTGGTGAGACCCCGTCTCATAATGTAAAATGAAACAAGGCTGGGTATGTAGCTCAATATGAAGGCTCTGGGTTCAATCTTCAGTACCGCAGGGCAGGGGAAGGTACTGACAAGGTCACCAGCATTTATATTTGAAAATTTATACTGTCCATTGTCTGATGGCTAGAAATTTAAAACAATTTCTCCTTCAAAATAGCATGCAATTCATATTGATCTAAGCAAAACTTAGCAAAATTGGGTAACTTTTATATGTCTTTTCAAGGGATAATATAAATATCAAATTTTGTTATACAAAAGAATTTTGAAAACCTCCTCCTGTTACAAACTGTGCATTTTTAAAAGGGAAGGCAGAAAAAGGGTTCTTAAAGAAATTCATTATTGAAGAAATAATGTAGGAAATACTTTGCAGAATAGAAGGACATGGATTTGTGTCACACAGTGAAAAACTTCACCATATTCTCAGCAAAATTGATGAAAATAGGTGCATACCAGTGATCATTATCACGAGGTTTCAGAAACTGGAGATAAAAGGAAGATTCTAAAAGTTTCTAGAGAGAAAAATACAGGTCATGTACAGCCAATCAAATAGTTTCAGACTTCACAGCAGTAACATCAGAAACAAGAAGGCAATATAGCAATACTTTCAGAATTCTGAAGGAAAATGATTTCCAATTTTGAGTTGAGAGTCAAATTATCGACAGAAATACTAATGTACAATAACAACTTTTTTGACACTAGCGTTATGGTTTCTGGCTGGATGTCCTCCAAGAGCCTTATTCTCTCATAGGTGGGGCTTTTGGAAGGTGACTGGCTTATGAGAGCGCTACAGCTGATGTGCTGTTAGGAGGCGGGACCTGGTTAGAGGCAAGTCATTGGGGCATGACTTAGAAAGTCAAATCTCCCTCCCTGGCTCCTCCCTTTGATCTCTGCTTCCTGACTGCCATGACACGAGCAGGTTTCCTCCACCCATACCCTTCTGCCATGCCATTTCTGTGCTTAAACATGGACTAAGACTTAAGTATGAGCCAAAATAAACCTCTCCTCCTATAAATTGCAGATGTTGGTATTTTGACCCAACCACAAGTAAAGTGACTTAAGACAGCTGGGGAATTATCCCAGAGCCTAGCGCGTTCTAAGCAAG